TTCATAAAAGTTTGTCGAAAATGAATTTCACTTTATTAAATGTTATGTCCTCTATGATCTTAGAAGTATTTTACTTAGATAATGGTCATCTCTTTTGAAACACGTGACGCATTCATAAAATAACTTCCTCTGTAAGGTTCACACCCAATTGTCAGACATCCCATTTGGCAGGTGACCGAATCATCAGACAGACCAGTCAAGTGTGACCAGTGTATTCGCCTGGTCTAAACTACTAATTACTGTGCTGCTCTCGACTGTGGGCAGAGTAAGCTATTCAAACTCGTTAAGTGATACAGATTAACCAGATTCCTCTACGCTGGGCAAACACTGGTCTATGTAGAATCATATCGTTATCTGGGACTACGGGTTGACGAGCATCTAGATATGTGAAACTGTGAAAGAGTTGTACAATTCTGTCAGCCATGCTTTGTCTTATTCTGTCTGGTGTATGTCTTATGATGTTTTTATGAAACTGTATGAAAGTCTTGTTGAGCCGGTAATGTTCTATGGCTCTGGTATATGAGGATAAAGCGTTAATCTAATCCAAAATAGAGCCTGTAAATTATTTCTTGGTGTTAGTAACGGTACCTCCAGTATAGCCACTAATGGAGACATGGGTCTCTCCTCCCCGTTTGTTACATTACATGCTAATGTTTTTAGACTACCCCAAGATTTAATAACAGTACTTGTAACGCTTTGATGAAGAAAATGGTTACTATGTAAAAGTTCATGGAGTACTAAAGTTGTTAAAATTGCCTGTAATCTTAATATTTATGATGTTATGAATATTATGAAGGCTCCAATGTCCCGAAAGAAGAAAATTGCCCATATTAAAAACGTTCTCGTAAACAAAGATGAACTGAGCTGGAGAACAGAGCTTTGGAACGATAAACATCAATGTTTAAAACTACTTTCAACTACTTGTTGCTTGCATACGCATTTTATATTGATCAAACTGTTATTAAGATCTGTAAAATGTTCTATTTCTTATGTAAAACATAACGAAATACAAATTATTTCATAACATCATATAGTTGTCACTAGAAAATAGTATTAAATCATTATTGTCACATGCAATAATAATACTGTTCGGTATCATTAGTAAACTTTGCAACCACATATTATGTGAAACCTTCTATAAGGGGTAATGAAATTGAATGAAGCAATGGTAAAATCTAACCATATATACAAAATTGTATAGTTTTGGAAATACCAACTATACAAAATTGTATATTTTGGAAATACCAACTATACAAAATTGTAGATTTTGTATATATGGGTATTTTTTCTTGTGATCCAGTGATTGACATCATGATCATCGATCCCCGCAATTGGGATCGATGAGATGTATCAACCCAAGTCAGCGAGCCTGACCACCCGATCCCGATAGTCGCCTTTTACGGCAAGCATGGGTTGCTGAAGACCTATTCTACCCCGGAATCTTCACGTGTCAGAATCGATACAGCTGAAAAATCACAGACAGTAGCGGAAAACATCAATGCAAAGTATATATCAGTGGGATAATTATTGATGAGAGGGACAGCAAGAAAGGGGCAGATATATATGGAAAGAGAGATGTATGTAATGTGACTAGAGTAAAAGAGCACGTGAGATGAATAGATAGAAAGCTAGTTATGATCGTGATGGGTAGAGCAATAGATTGTGAAAACGAAAAAGAGGAAGCAAAATGATAACCCTGTGTTTTCGAAATGTATTCATACTCACAGTCTCGTTCTTGTTTTGATGTTATCACTTTGCTAACATTGGTCAAAGGCTTGAAACTCACACCAAATCTATAAATATACATTAAGCAAATTCCTTACTTACTTTACGTAGGTACTGGTAGGAGATGGGTAATATATAAACGAAACAAACAGCCTTGTAGGTGTCTGAAGGCAGAAAATGACCAAGGCCAGTGAAGATAATACAAACTGTTTAATGATATATTTTGCTAACTGCTACCTTGACAGATATATGTGCCAAGTTCTGTGTAGCCATCATTCACTCACTTACCAGCATGAAGAATCTAACATTCATAATTATCTAATTAATGAATCACAGCAGTTACAGCTAGATTTGAGCAGTCCCTTTAGAATTATATCTAAAATTTTCAGAATACTTATATTTATTTTATCCATTGAACATAAGATGTGTATTGTCAAAACGTAATTGATGCTGCAGGACAATCGTTACGTTGTAGTTTCAGTTATGTTTCCTAATGTGATACTCACTGTTTACAATGTAGCACATATACAATAAATCTCACTGCCAGCCTTGGTCGACTACGCCATCAATGCGATGGTTATGACCAACGTGTATGATAAACTGTCATTCCTCACAACTAATGCCAATAATGTTTCAGTTGTTTACTTGGATAAGCAGTTAAATGTAATGGTGTATTCAAAAAAATAGTATAAGAAGTTGTCCTTGATGCCATTATATACACTTCCGACGTTATTGATTGACATAGTAGCAAAAAATATACCAGAAAATATGTCAAAGTTGCAATTCTACATGAGCACGTTCTAGATTTAGCTCTGTTCTGATAGTCAGGTACTGACAAGAAGTGAGCAGAGTTCAGCAATAAAACTAATCTAACATATATTTAGAATATCATATGAGGAGCCCAGAAAATGTGTCAATGTTTAAACTTGAATCTTAAAAAAACATTTTCTTTAATTGTCTTCTGAAATATAATAGAACTGGATCCCATAAATGTTATGTAATGTTCATTTACAGCAGAAACAGGAAAAGATTAAAGAAAAAAAGAAACCAAAGAACCAAAGAAAATATATTTTATAAAAGATAACCAAATAAGTATGCAGTGATGATGAGCCAAAACTACGCATTTATACAGCAAATAACAAGAACACATTTAGCATTAAGCATGCCATCAACCACGGACCAAAATTAGAATTGGGTCCAGGATGTAGTCACAGCAACAATAATATTATTTGCATGTCAGAAGTTTGAAATTTGCTGATGATAGAGCTGATATATCGAAATATAATTTAGGCGTTGATGGAGTGTGTATTGGTGTCGGTGCAGTGTGTTTTGGCGTTGGTGTAGTGTGTTTTGGTGTTTGTGCAGTGTGCATTGGCGTTGGTGCAGTGTGTTCTGGCGTTTGGGCAGTGTGTTTTGGTGTTGATTGTGTTCTGGCGTCAAGATGGCCTCATCTGTCCACTCTGGGCGCTAAGATGTTATCTGATGGCGACATAGCCACACAGGAGATACAGGAAGACACTCTTCATCTCCTGCAAGATTCATTCTGACAAAGACAGTACCAAACCCACAGTAGCTGGCTGGCTCAAATCTATTATTGCGGGAGGTTATCAACAAACCCAAGACTCCATGCCAATATTCTCATCGTGCTTGGCCCATGAAATCAGAGCTTTACCAACAAATAGTATCCAGTGGTCAGTAGGGTCCACACAACACCTTCACTAACTTTGATATGCCACCCTTGCACACAGGAGAGTTGCTGCGGTGGTGAAAACTAATTTATGTGTTGTTTGGCTGTGAAGTAGACTTCTGTCGAAATCTGAAGGTTTAGTTCAGTGTGATTACTGCCCAAAATACAGGCTTCCTGTAAGTTGAGCTGTCATGGCCTCTCCCGCCTCATGCAAGTTGTCTTGACGCCTGAGATACCTGTTCAAATAGAATTGACCCCTGTCTCCTACTGGAACAACAGGTCAGCAAGGGGATCCCTCAACGATTTCCATCTATCAGCTCTAGAGGTAGAACGTTTGAAGCACTGTCAGGATGATCAGACTAAGAAGCGTTCCCCAGCCAAGAGACCGCTTTGTGAACAGGCTCACGAGCCTAGATAGTCTTCTGCATCTTTCACCTGACTGCATGGTCACCAGACAGAGTACATGATGACTCAATGACAACTAGTCATCTGGGTAGAAGCTGTAAATCTTTACCCTGAGCATATCGAATCCGACCATTGGATTATCAACATCCTATCACGGGGATACAAGATACACTTCCAACCTCATCTAGAGGGGACCAAATTAGTCGCAGCAGAACTGGCCATTGGGGCATTATTAGAAGTATTAGAAGTCCATTCGGAGATTTCAAGACACCAACAACAGCAAAGGTTTTTTACTCTTCCGTTTTCTGTGTCCCAAAGAAGACATGAGGATGAGCATCGACCTCAAGATCCCCAACAAATCTTTTCTAGTTTCTCCTTCCAAGTTTCAGATGGAATCAACACGGAAACTCTGTTCAAGGTTCGGAACAGGAGATTGGCTCATTCGACCTCGCTCACGGATATGACATACAGAGGAAGGTAAAGACTACGTCTGTTCCAGAACTCATTGAGACCTCAGACCCTGGACTCACTCGTACAAATACCACACAACTTGATTCAGGATCTTGATTGGTGACTCACAGAGAGTTGTTATGGACGGCATTCTGCTAGTATTTCCGACACCTGAACATTATTTCTTCATGGACGCATACATATCTGGTTAGGGTGCCCATGTGAACGATCTCAAAAGGATCATTGACATGTATTAATATGTATATACACTTTTTTTTGACACGAAGGGATTAATTTCATAACATTTAGGTCAATAATTTGCGATAGTGTAGCGTGACATCGACTTTTATTGCGATTTGCTAACTCGTCATCGATGTAGTGACGATGGGCTGTTGTGATACATCAGTGGTTACACCCCTAGAAGATGGATCGGTAGTGCTGTGTACAATGACCCTGCATCTTCATGCTGAGGTGTCTACATGCTCTTCTTACTCAAGTTATGAATAGGTTCTTCTCAGATAGTTCTGTGTCACTACCACATTGAAAACTTAAATGTAGGAAGGATCCAGCTGTGTTCAGTTGCTGGCTGGTTCAAATCTATTATTGAGGGAGGTTATCGACAAGGCCAAGATTCCATGCCAATTCCCTCTCCCTATCGGCATTCACCAAATAATCAGAAGCTTTTAAGAAGGAAAAATGTAAAGCGCCTACCAAGAAAGCAGTAAACACCTTAATGGCTCTTCCAGTCATCCCTGACCATACTCCCATTGAGTTGTCTCGCAAAGGCAAGACGACGGAGATGCCTGCTCGACCAGAATTGACCCCTGTCTTCTCCATAAGTTTGCTGGAACAACAAGTCAGCAAGGGGATCCCTCAACAATTCCCATCTATGAGCTCTAGAGGTAGAACGTTTGAAGCACTGTCAGGATGATCAGACTAAGGAGAGTTCCCCAGCCACGAGGCCACTTTGGGTACAGGCTCAGGAGCCTTCTGCATCTATCACCTGACCGCATGATCACCAGACAGAATACAAAAGGATCATAGACATGTACTGATATGTATATGACAATTTTCCCAAAACAAAAGGATGTTCTTGAAATAACGTAGGCACTGACGGACTACTTCCACGTTCCTGGGGAATCCCCTGGGAATTTATTGAGCACGAATACGTACAGAAGCGTTCTTTCTTATCATTTAGACCCTTTAGTCTGGAACTTAGCGTTTTAGTATACATTGAGAAACGTCAGAGGTTGACTTACGATCGTTAACGAATATCCTCGTTACGACCCATCCCAGTGAACAAAACCAAGAAATGCACATCCAAACTATGGTAGTATCGACTCGACCCCTGTCTAGGTTGGCAGTGACTGTCTACAGCAATCTGTGACTTTATAGACGTACATACAGTTTGGCCCTCACTCTATGAAGTTTCATACTCCACTGAACTCAAACAAAGCGAAAGCCAATTCTTTAAAAAAAAACGTGCAGCCTTTTCTCATTCTTTATTTATTCTGATTTAATCGTATATGTGTTTCCTAAGTGATTAGGCTATCAACGTGTATTGGTTGTAGATGGTGAGTGATTCTCAGCAAAAATACAAAAAATGCAAATTTAGGCCCCTATCCTTCAATTTGTTAACTTTAAGGTACTGTGATACCAGCATGCTTGGCAGTAGCCAACATTATCTAATTTTGCAGACAGGTGTCCGATCACTTTCTCAAATGTCTTGATATGCTTAGCAAAAATGTTTTGTCGACTACCAGTTCACGGCTTTCCAGACTGTTATACAGACCCTAAAGCACAACTATCTACAAGATCCAATTCAAGTCAATAATAATTCTGTAATACCAGATTTCTTTAGTCTGAAAATGAGGATTTTTTTCACCTGTAAGTGGGCATCAAAGTTTTTTTCTGGAACTTTCCATAGCACATGTCTTGACGCAACCCACAGCACATGCGTCGGTTACAAAATGTATATAGGTCCATTACAACAAACAGATATATACTGTACAGCAACAGGAACACATGTGTTTGACCAAAAGAAAAACCCAATGGTGTCAATTCACATATTTATATAGACATCTGTCAGTTTAAGAGCTGAAGGTGGTTGTTACACTGGCATTACAGAGGTTAACAAAGGATCACAGAATGTGAAAGACAGTAGGTCTCCTCAGTAGCGAGTATGGCTACCTTGGGCTACCACAGTACGTGTCTGAAAGAATGTCTGAGGCAAGTGGCCCCACTGAGGACAAGATCTTGGGCTTGCGGAGAACTCATCAGGGCTATAATTTCTCAAAGGCTTGGACACAAGGCTTGCTGTTAATAAGGGTAGATATGTTTTCGGACTGAATATGAGATTTATGTGAGTGTGGAATGTGCTTAATTGCCACAGTGATTAAAAGTGTCTCATTCTCATAAGGTAACCAGGCTTGTCACTGCTGGTAACATTGAACGTGGCCACTATTCATTGGCGTTTGACTGAGCCATCAGTGATAATCCATAGTTGATCACTGGGACAAGGAAGGGTGATCGTGTTGGTGGATGTAAGAGTGCATTGGACACATCTTAAGTCTTCCTTGAGGCGATACATCCACTCTTGTCAGGGGCATGGGTGGCCCAGTGGTGTTAGGTGCCACAATTCCCTGTGCATAGTTGCGTCCCTTGGGCATGCCAGAAACCAATGATTGTGTGTTCGAATCTCGGTTTGCTCCGATTATGTTTCTAGGTTTGTCAGCAGCATTCTCGTGGTTGAGGGTATCATCGAAGGGGTAAACGTCTGAGACCTGCATCACTTTGAGCATTCTTCCCACATTAAGCTGACACGCTGCGATATAACCTGAATACTGTTAAAAGCAGTGTCAGTCCCAACTCACTGCACTCTTGTCCTGTGACTGTTGGCCAGTCTAAATACTATCAAGAGAAGCAATGTTGGAAGCACAATTAAGCAAAGCATGAGCCACAACCTTGTACGCACTGATGGAGGACCTCAGTTCGCTCACTCACTCAGGAGAAGGGCATGTAGATAATGTAGCTATCCTATGCAGTGCACCTCTGATTCTGCCTTGTCGTCATATCCATCCAAGAACAGTAACTGAGAACAGATCGTTGCATGTCGTTGGCTGAGAGTCGATGGTTGTTGATGTATAGTGCATCTAGGACACGTCACCTGTTCACCATTAGCTCTGAAAGAGAAACGGGTCCACGATAGAGGTCATCTGCAAGTTTAGTAATGATCGTCTAATGCTGGAGAAAACCTAACACACGATACATGAGCTCCTCAGGTGCTGTTTCAGACCCTGACATGCCCGTGGCTCTTCTTGTATAAACACTGACTCCCTGGAAGGGGTTTACCATGTCACAATATTTCAAAGTGGAGGTTGAACTGGGCCCATAGTGACAACAGCATGAAAAGGCATAAAGATATATCTCTGGATAGACGGGTCAAAAACATTGTCTACAAGCAATGTAACTTGTCCCTTGCCCATGAATAACATTGTGTTTGCCTGTCCGAGCGAAGACATTGTGTTCCATAATTGAGATAACGGCAATTTTGTCAACTTGCAAGGCCTAGATTCCCGAGTTCTCAAACAAAAACTCTCTGCCATAACTGTGAACCTTGTCAACTCCAAGCATTTTAGCTGAAGCAAGATGAATCATGTTTTCTGTTGCGACACTGCCCAGGATAAAGTTAGCAATGATGTCCGTAGAAGGCAAGTGATTGTATCACTTGGAAGTGGACCCTGAATTCACATTAAGGGTGGCTAAGGTCTCTGTGGGCTTACGATGCCCTTGGTCAGATAGACAAGTATCAGTAAAGCCGCTAGTATCATTGCCTGTACGCAAATCGTCAAGAATGTTTACAATATCTGAAGCAGGTAAGTAGGTACACTGCCTTTGAATGTGATTAAGGTGATACATATGGACACACCTTTGTTGAAGCTGAGGTTCTATTCTGGTTAGACGACTGATGGGGAGTAACGTTACAATGAATTCCACATCTTGAAGTGGCAGCCGTCATGAGCTTAATTTCCTCAGATGTGCTTACTTTGTTTGGAAGTGATGTTCACGTGCCTGTGATATCTTCGGTTGAACAGAGGAGGGCGTTTTTTAACATACATCTATGTCATAATGCTGTTTCACCAATCGTGGTTTAACAATTATCGCCATGTGAGGACAATGAAATTCTCAAGCAACGGAGTCAGCTTCTCATATTCCTCAATATTATTGGCTTGGTGTGTAAATAAAGTGTTAGTCTTGATGTTTAAATTGTATATCTTAGAGGTTATGGTATGGCCGATTTCATATCATACCCAATATCAAACCTCGAACCCCATATCAGACTTCTGTGCTTTGGCACTCAGGCTGTTATGTGGTCTTGGGTTGATATGGGGTAAGATAGGAAACAAATTGCCAACATCACTTTTTCTTCTAATTAATAAGAAAAATAATATACATTCTAATTTTCAATATCGATAAAGTTGATGGTATCGACTAGTTGTAAACCGCAAATGATTTACATTTCACTGACTTACAGTGTATCCATCCAGTTTGCTCTGACAATGATCGATAAGTACAATAGATAAAGCTCATTTTAAATTCACAAGGCCTTAGCTTTTTATGTTTCAATGTTCTATAATGATGAGTTTACAAATATTATTAATATATATTTTTTATTATCATTATTATTATTATTATTATTATTATTATTATTATTATTCAATAGCTATCAAATAATATCAAATAAAATAATGTTCTTTGATGTCTTTTTATAAATGTGCATGTATATTGCATTACACATGCAAGTCTTTTGAGCAATCATTAACAGTTTTATCTGTAATATTGAAAATAATAGATATAGTAAATATAGCATTTAGACATATCCACAAGAAATATGTCCGGGGTTGCACTTGCATTCAAATGTAAAAATATTTTATCATAAACAACTTTCTGAATCAGATTTGCTATATTATGTGTGGTAAATAGACTTAATTCTTCAGTTGTAGGGGAACTAACCAGTCAACATGTGATACCCAAAAAAGACGTTGCACATATCATATACATATGGAGAAATCAGTATGGATTTATGTTTATTGGGACAAAGCTCTGTAATCTACTACCATTTCTAAGAGCATGAGGATCAGAATGATGTAAAAAAATAGATGACACTTAACAATAAATGATGGACACATTTTATGAGGAACACAAACTATGATGATGAACATGTTTTGCTGCTGAGTAATTGATTGGTTGATAAATACATAGTAGATTTGCATTTGGTATATTTCTAATAATTGTCAAAATAACAGGAAAACAAAACATAAAACCAGATTGTAGAGGAAATGTTGACATTATAGTTACTTTAATCAGTTGTTTTAATAGGCACATTATTTATTTTTCAATTAGTAGTAAAGGCACGGTTGAATACTAATTATTGAACTGAAGGCCGGTCATTATTTATTTTTCAATTAGTTGTAAAGGCACGGTTGAATACTAATTATTGATCTGAAGGCCGGTCAATGCACGTCCATGTGCTGCATTTGTATCTCCAACTTCATTTTATTGCTGCAACAGTTTTGGACTTGTCATATATAATAACACAAAAGTCTGATGAATGGAGTTTGCATTATTTCAATGACGCGATGTTACCCCAGACTGACTGAATGCCCCAACTCTCCCTGTTTCTTGCGTAGAAAAAAGCTCTAGACAATACTAGTATATAGATTTTCATGGCGTTTTGCCCATAACCCTCCATCATGTCAGTTCGTGTTTTAGTTGCAGATTGAAGAAATGTTTTAAGTCCTAACTAACAATCACTGCAGAACGTGCTAGTTGTGTTTTGGGTGGCTTGGGGCATAGGCAGACAAGACAATCCAGTGATCAATGTTGCGAGCAGCCATCCACG